GTGGAGACTAGATTCCTAGAGTGGAGATGAGGGATTTGGGTGCTAAAACATATGAAGAACGGTTGCAGGAACTGGGCGTGGCTAATTTAATGACATGAAGATCTAGGGGTGACATGATAGCAGGGTTCCAACATTTGAGGGGCTGCCCCAGAGGGGGGGGGGGGCTCAACGTATTCTCCAAAGCCTCCGAGGGCAGGACAAGAAGCAACGGGTGGAAACTCATGGAGGAGAGAAGCAATCTGGAACTAAGGAGAAACTAGTAAGAAAAATTAACCAGTGGAATGACTTGCCACTAGAGGTTGTGGGTGCTGCATTACTGGGGGATTTTAAGAAGAGACCGGACATCCATTTCTCAGAAATGGTGTATAGGGGCTCCTGCTTGAGCATGGAGCTGGACTAGAAGATCTCCAAGGTCCCTTCCAACCCTTCTTCCTCTGTTATCCTGCTTTGCTCTGGCACACGAAAACCCCCTATTTTTATTCCTTACAGCGAATGGAAACCAGGCTGGGGATTGCTCTCCCCCACGGGTTGTAAAGGGGTGGAGGGGCTGGAAGGGAGGGGCAGGGCAGGAGGAGGCCCGCAGAGGGTGCCAGTCCGGCTTTGCGCGTGAGGAGAAAACCCCAAAAGGGGAACCGGGGGGGGGGGACTCTGGAGGGTCGCCCTGCTGACCTCTCTGGCTGCTCCAGGGGTGTCTGGGGGGGCAGCGGCCCGTAGAGCAGGGTGCTGTTGGCCCCCTGGGAGACGTTGTAGAGGGGGCAGAGGTCTGCGTAGGAGGGCAGGACGCCCATGGTGCTGGCACTGGGGGGGTAGAGGGTGCCCCCCACAGCGACCCAAAAGGAGAGGAGGAAGCCAACGCCGAGGCCGGAGAAAACCCCCTGGAAGGGAAGAGAAAGAGGCTCCGGTCAGATCCTGCTTTGCCCCTGGGGGGGGGGACGACAGGAGGGGGGAGGGGGCTAAAGGCTGGGCAGGAGTGGGGGGGACGTATTCCCACAACTGTTTCTGCAGCCAGACTCACAGAAGCGGCTTCGTCCAAGCCCAGGAAAGCAGAGGCAGGAAGCCAGGTTGGCCTCCCCCCCCCACTTGCTCCTTATTCCCCCCCCCCAATAGCTTCCCAGATGTCAAAATGGACCCTCCCTTTTCTCCCCCCAGCAAGCCCAGGAGCCTCACCTGGAAGACGGCTAGTCCCCCACCCTCCAGAGCACTGACCCCTCCCCCCAGGTCTGGATCCTGTCCTTGCCCCTCCCCCCATTGGTGCTGCCCACTGATGGCCAGAAGCTGGGCCACCACACACACACACACACACACACACACACACAAACACACACACACCGTGGGACTCACCCAGGTGTTGCAGGTGGGGAAGAACATGCCCAGGATGAAGGCGCCCAGGAGGGGCCCACTGACCACCCCCATGACCGTGAAGGAGCCCTGACGGAGAAGCACAGGAGGCAAAGGGGGTGTGTGTGAGGGGGGGGCACTGAATTAGCCCACCTGCCAACCGCGGCCCCTCCCCAGGACACACAGGATGGGCATTGGGGCAGTCATAGGGAGGAGGGGTCTCGTGGGAGTGAGATGGGGGCCGTACCCCCTCCGGCCGCTTCTCCAGTCCATTCACCAAAAGGTTACGGGGGGTCTCCAAAAGGAACAGCCATCATGGGGAGGGGTCCGGGAGGGGGGCAGGAAGCTCTAGCACTGCTCCCATCCTTGTATTTGTGTGTCCATAATTTCCTCCCCCCCAGATCCAGGGCACCGTTCAGAGAATGGGACCCCTCCCTCTGGCACCCCCTGCCCTCCCCCCACCAGAGGGGGCACTTCTGGGGTGGGCAGCTGGCTTTTTCCCCCAGGCAGGGTCTCTGCTGCTGTCGGGGAAGGAGAAGAGGGAAACGGTGGACGGAAGGGGGCAAATGGGGAGGGGAGGAGGGAGGCAGTGCGAGGCCCACAGGGGGTCTTCTCGGGGGGGGGAGTTGCGTACCTGCAGCACCCCCCCTCCAAGCAAGGACGAAAGAGCCGCCACGGTGATGCAGGCAGTGCCGTAAATTAAGGCTAGAAGGAAACAACAGACACGCACAGACCTTAACTGGAAGCAGAGGAAGCCTGGGGGGGGGGGGGGGGTCGGGGAGGGGGGTACACATGGGACCCACTTCCAGGCAGGTTGTGGGTGTCTGAGCCTTCCAAGAGACAGAAACACTGGGGGTTTTAAAGTCCTCATGTGGCAAGCGGTTCCCCTGGCTGTCGACCCCCATGCCCGGGAGCCTGTACTTTTGGCCCACTGCCCTCCTCCTGCCTTCAGACGGGGATTATCTTATCTCCCCTCTGAGAAGCTCCTGTCTTCCCTGGCACGGGAGAGAAGCCGGAGGGCGGGTGAGGCGCCAATGCCACCCTGGAGGCCTTGGGAAGGGCCCACATGGAAAGCAGCCTTCGCTGTGAAAAAGAGGGGGAGGCCCTGGAAAGAGGGCAGAGGAGAGCAAGGGAGGCCCTTCGGGGACCGGAGGCTGAAGCGTAACGAAGGACGGAGGCAGGAACCGGGCACGGAGCCTCCAGGGAGGAGAAGGGCCAGGGGGGACGGGCAGCAGCCTTCCAATATCTCAGGGGCTGCCCCAGAGAAGACGGCGTTGAGTTATTCCCCAAAGCACCAAAGAAGCAACGGGTGGAAACTAACCAAGGAGAGAAGCAAGGAGGAGTTTCCTAAGAGTGAGAATAATTAGCCAGGGGAACTCCTTGCCACCAGAACTTGTGGGTGCTCCAACACTGGAGGCCTTTACGAAGAGGCTGGACAGACCTTTGTTTGAAATGGTGTAGGGTCTCCTGTTTGAGCAGGGGGGCTGGACTAGAAGACCTCCAAGGTCCCTTCCCACTCTGTTATTCTGTGCTCGGCTCCATCCCCAAAGGAGGGTGTTTCCAGGTGGCCCCCTCCCCAAAATCCTCTGGGATTCCCTGGGCCTTGACGCTTGCACCCCTCCCACTCCTGGTTTTCCACCCAGAGAAAGGAAAGGGGGGCTCCCCCTTTCAATGGGGCCCCCTGCCTGCCACTCACAGAGCCCCTTGGAGACCAGGGCGAGTTTCCGTGGTGACAGGGTGGGCATCTTCGGCTTGATCAGGTCCTCCATGGTGACGGCCGCCATGGCGTTGATGCTGGTGGAGGCCGTGCTGCGGAGGAGGAGGGGGGGGCAGAGGGCATCAGTGGGGGGGGGGCAGGCTGTGGCCTAGCAAAGCCTCTGCCCTCCACCCCGGAGACTGACCTCAAAGTGCCACTGTAAGCGCAGGCCAGGAAGAGGCCGGGCACCCCCGGGCAGCTCTCGAAGATGTCCAGGACCAGGTAGGGCATGTACTGGGAGGGAGGAGGAGGAGGAGGAGCAGCCGTGAGTGGCAGAATGGCAAAGCCCCCCTCGGCCAGCCGAATGAGAGCCCGGCTGAATTCTGGGCTACCCTGCCTTGCCCAGGAGGTTCAGTTTTGGGGCAGAGGAGAGGGGGGGGTGTCTCAGGGAGGGGTCTCTGCACAGGGGCAGCAGCAGGAGGAGGAGGAGGAGGAGGAGGAAGAGGGGGAAGGGGCATCTGATGAGGGTCTGTGAATGGCCGGGTGACGCAGGGGTTGGCAACCATGGGGGAGAGGTCGCCTTCCCTCTCTGGACTTCAGCCCTGGCACCACTTATGCCTAAGTGCCAACTGAGTCTGCCTCTGTTTCATTTGGGGGGGGCAGCAAAGTCAGCACAGGGAGACGAGCGGCCTTGGCATCCACTTGCTCTTGACCCCCCCCATGCCCCTCCCTCAAGGCCTCCCCCTCCCCCCCAAGAAGGGAACCCTCTGCCCGGGTGCCCCCCACGCACCTGGCAGCCGCGCTCTGCCCTTTGGGGGTTCACCTAACTCTCCTCGCCTTTCCTCCGCCTGCCCAATTCCCCCCCCCCGGCTTCTCTGCCACGCTCTGCTGCCCCCCTCCCCCCGATGAAGGGGCCGTACCTGGTCAGGCGCAGAAATATATCCGGCCACGAGTGGATCGCAGTCCTTGTAGAGCGCAAACATCACAATGCCACAGCCGACTGCGCAGGAGACAATGACGAAGAGCCCCACTTGGTTGACCAGGAGGGCCCTGGAGGGAGGGGGGCAAGGAGAGAGGTTAGGCCCAGGCGGGAGGGACGCCCCCCCCTCGGTCAGTGGGCAGAGGGGGCCTGAGGGAAGGCGGGAGGGAGCCCTCCAGTCGCACCCAGGGGGGAGGGGGCGGAGTGCCTGGGCACAGCCCTCGCTTGGCCCCAAGATGGCAGGAGAAGACGGGGGCATCGCTGTGGCAGGTTCTGGGCTGCCCCCTTCCCCGGCAGCACCACCTGCCCACCTGCCGAAACTGGACCCCCCCCCCCAGAGCCTGCCTGGACCCCACCCCTCTGCCCGGCTGCCTCCACAGCCACGAGGGTCGTCCCACACCAGACGGGCAGCAGAAATGAATAAGATAAATAAAATTATGCAGCGGCCCAGAACATGGCCCAGGCAGGCTGGGGCGAGGAAGGTGGGGGGAGGCAGCTGCCCTCCGAAGGCTGGAGGGGGGCTGCTCTCCCTCCGCTCCCGCCCTTCCCCCTCCCCCTCCTGCCTGGTGGCCCAGGGCCCAGAGAGCCTGGCTTGGAAGGACAACAGGCCTTGGTGGGCAGAGGCCGAGCGCCCCGGGACACCCCCCCTCTGGGACGGGGGAGGCTGAGGGGTCTCGCAAGAGAGAACGCCCACCTGCCTCGCTTTGGGCACTCAGACGGGGGGGGGGAGCGGCTGCTGGGTGAGGCCGGCCTCCCTCTGCTGATAACCACAGCAGCCGAAGAAAAGATAAGGAGGGCCGCAATCTCCCTCCTCCCTGGGCAGAGATGGCCTCCAGCCAAGCCGCTGTGGCCCTGGCACAGCCTCTCGCCCCATTCCAGTGGGCAGCCGGGGGGTGGGGGGGCGACCATGCTTGGCTTTCCCATCGTCCACGCCGCTTCCGGAGCAGCCCCAGTGGCGGCCGGCAGGAGGCTGCTGGTGACCCTCAAAAGATCACCCGGGGCCCCTCAGAGGCCCCCCCCCCGGTTTCAGGAGAACGGCTGAAAGCCCCCAGCCTTTGAGCCGAGGGATCCCCAGGAGGGAGGTGGGGCGGAAGGGAAGCTCCTTGGAGCAACTCACAGCTTCGCTTCCTTCTCCGTCTTGCAGGCCACGTAACGCTGGACTTGGGCCTGGTTGACCCCGTACATGGACAGCCAGAGCAGCGTCCCTCCGAAGAGGAAGGTCCAGAACGTGTACCGGCTGTGGGGGTCCAGGCTGAAGCTGGAGAGGGAGAGAGGGAGTCAGGAGGAAGGGGTGTCTTCAGGGGCATCTACCAAGCGACATGTGGCTAGACCTCATGAAGTTTTGGACACACACATACACACACACGGAGGGAAGGAGAGAGAGAGAGAGAGAGAGAGAGACGGGGGGGGGCTCCTGGGGGAAGGGGCTGCAGCCTGAGATTTCCTAAAAAGGAACTCAAAGTTATTTGTCTGACTTCCATTGTTTGGGAATAGGGATAGTTCCCCCCCCCCATTGAAAAAATATATATCTAAGGGATCCACCTTGAAATGTAACATCTCCTTAATTCTGGGAGATTCAGGAAGAAAGAAAATAATCTCGCATTCACTCACTCACACTCATTCCTCATTCATTCGTTCACCATTTCATTCATTCACTTCATTCCTTCATTCATTTCTCCACCTCCCCTAAGTCAGTGTTTCTCAACCTTGGCCACTTGAAGATGTCCGGACTTCAACTCCCAGAATTCCCCAGCAGTGGTTAGGACAGTGTTTCTCAACCTTGGCCACTTGAAGATGTCCGGACTTCAACTCCCAGAATTCCCCAGCCAGCATTCGCGTATAAACAATTCAGTGTCTAGGACAGTGTTTCTCAACCTTGTCAACTTGAAGATGTCTGGACTTCAACTCCAGAATTCCCCAGCCAGCATTCGCATATAAACAATTCAGTGTCTNTAGGTGGGAGGCCCGGCCTCACAAGGCGGGAACCGGACAACTTGTTACGGGCAACTGGCGGTGGGACACATTTAACGCGTCTATTTGACGGTTTAACCGAAATAAAACTCGTTTTCCCTTTCGCCCTTCCTTCCCTTCCGTCCCTCTCCCCCCCCCTTCCTTCCTTCCCACCGTTTCTTGGAGGTTCTCCCTCTGGTCCCGCCGCCACTTGCCTTGCGGGGAGTTGGCCGTGGCGAATAGTCACCGAGCCCACAAGGGGAGCCCCGCCGGAGGGCAGCGCTGGGCTCCTGCGTGTGCTCCGCCCCAGACGCCCCGAGAGCCATTCCGGTCCCGCAGCTGCCACCGGCCAGATGGGCTTTGTGGTCCCGGTCAGTGACGCCCGCCTGGATCAAGGACGGGGCGCCCCGGAGTTCCGCGACGTGGACGGGCTGGAAGAGGAATGGGGGGGGGCTTTGGCCGAAGAGGCCAAGCTTTCTGGGGGGGGGGTCTTTGGGGGCTGCCTGAACCATAGAAGGGCGGAGATCCTGAGGCCTTTTGGGGTGGAGGAGGGGCAGAAGTCTGAAGGAGCTGATTGGGGGACCCCTGTGGAGCAAGGCTGGGGGGTGTTTGAAGAAGGGAAAATGTATTTTTTTATAGTACAGATAGTCCTCGACTTACAACCATCTGTTTAGTGATCGTTCAAAGTTATAAGGGCACTGAAAAAGTGACTTACACTTACGACCATTGCAGATTGCCCATGGTCACATGATAAAAATTCAGATGCTTGGCAACAGATTCATATTTATGACAGTCGCAGTGTGCAGTGGGGGAGGGGGAAGAAATGAGAGGCGAAGAAAAAAGGGGGGTTTGGAGAAGAGTTGACAGATTTTTTAATTATTATTTTAATTTTTCCATCATGAAAGAGAATATTTAACAGATTAACAGAGTCGGAAGGGACCTTGGAGGTCATCTAGTCTAACCCCCCCTCCCAAAGCCTACACCATTTCTGACTGATAGCTGTCCAGTCGCTCCCAGGGATGAAGCTCCCACAACTTCTGAAGGCAACTTCTCTTCCATGGGCTGGTGGTTCTCACGGTCAGGAAATTCCTCCTTATTTCCAGGTTGAATCTCTCCTTGGTCCGTTCCCATCCATTCTTCCTTCTCTGGCCTTCGGGGGCCTTGGAGAAGAGCTTGACCCCCTGACTCCCCTCTGTGGCAGCTCCTCAAGTATCGGAAGGCTGCTCTCCTGCCTCCCTTGGTCCTTCTCTTCACTAGAGCAGCCATGCCTGGTTCCTGCAACCGTCCATCGAATGTTTCAGCCTCCAGCTTTGTATGTTTAGCCTCCTAGTCATCTTGGTTGCTGACCTCTGGAGTCAATAATGGAGAATATTTGTAGCTCAGGGTTGAATTGGGGGGGGGGTTCCTTGGGGCTCTCTGAGCTTGTTCTCTTGCTGACGTTTCATGACCCAACTAGGCAACATCATCCGTGCTAGTAAGGGGTGGGGTTTGCTGTCAGTTTATATTCTGGGCTCCTGCCTGTCTCTTGAGGGGGCTGCCCTGCAGATCCTTTGACTGGATTGCTTGCTGATGGCTCTTCCTCAGTTTCCTTGATTGGAGTTAATCTCTGCCGATCTGGGTGCTGAGTGCTGGGGGGGGGGGCTGGGCCCTTCCTCTCTCGGTCGATGGTCTCTTTTGCAGAGTCTGCAGGTGTTGTTGACCTCTATGTGTCCCTCGATGGCTGATTTGTCACCAGGAAAGTCCCNGGGGTGGCAGGCTGGTCTGACTCCAGGGTTGCTCTCTCTTTACCCCTTCCCTCCCCCACAGGTCCCCCCCTCCCCGAGCTCCTGCCCCTGGAAAGCCCTTCAGTGCTGCTCCAGCCGGCTGAGAGCCTGGAGAGGCCTTTGGGGTGGCGCCTGGTACCCAGCTGAGAGCCCTCTGGGCACTTTGCCGGGTCCTGCATGGGGTGGAGGGGGGCAGGGGAGAGTCCTGGAGGACTTTTGCATCCCTGCTGGTCCCCTTGGAGGAGCCCCTCCCCCCTGCCTCCAGCCACGTCTGTCCGTCTGTCCAGGGAAGATGCCCCCAGGGACAGGGGACGGCAGCTGGAAGGAGGCTAAGCAAGCCCCAAAGAAGAGCCAAGGAGCCTCAAGAGGCAGGGGGCGTCCTTTCCGAAGCCCCCTGGCACAAGGACCCCCACCCCCTGCTCTGCAGCCTGAGGAAATGGGAACTGGCAGCCAAAGTCCTTCCTCCCTTCGCCCAGGAGCATCAGTTCTCCCCCACCCCCACCCCAAGCCCTTTGCCCCCCTCCCACCGCCAGGACGGGCTCCCCCCCCCTCTGCAGCTCTCTCCAGCTCCCCAAATCTTTGGGGCTGGAATCGGGAGTGAGTCTCCCAACGCCTGGGGAGGTGCCCAAGTGCTGGGGGAGCAGCAGAGCTACAAGGGGGCTGGATGGGGCAAGGGGAGAGCTTTTTCGGGTGCTTGGCTCAAACCCCCCTGGGGCTGAGAGAGGAAGCAGCAGAGGGGAACTAGCCAATGAAGGGTTGGGGGGGACGACGACAGGGGGAGACCTTGGAGGGGGGAGGGGGGATTTTAAATTCCCTGTAGGAAAAGGGCTAATTTTTTGGGGGGGGAGGCTGCCCCAGAAGTTACAGAAAGTCTCTTCTGCAGATCCCCATGCTGGGTGGAGAAACTTTCAAGGATTTCCCCCAACCTCTGGCCATCTTTTGGGGTGCCTTATGATTAATGGGCTCCCTGCTGCTGACATTGCCTGTGGGTGAGCCCCAAAGAGGCAGAGGGGGGGCCACTTGGCTAAAACGGGGGAGTCAGGGAGGGACAGACAGGCGGCCTCTTCCCTCCCCCAAAAAAACAACCCTCCAACTTGGGCAAAATGTCTCCTTGGTCAACCCTCCACCCTCCCTTTCTTGCAAGGAAGCCAAAAGTGGGGGAGGAGAGAAGTGCCAGCCGGGCCATTTGCTGCCTCTGCCCAGACTGGCAGGAAACCCCTTGAGGGGCAGGCGGGGGCTTCCACAACAGCCCTGGGGAATTGCCCCCCACCCACCCACCCAAGTAAGCCCTGAGGCGGTTCCTGCAAAGGGCTCATTTCTGGGGCCTCTCTGCTACTGCTGCGTGTGTGTGTGTGTGTGTGTGTGTGTGTGTGTGTCCCCCTTTCTGCCTGGGGCAGTGGGGCCAGAAGGGGCAATGCCAGGGGCCACAAAGGCTGANCTGCCAGGGGAACCTGGTCCCTTTCGACCTCTGGATGAAGTCCCTGAAGAGGATGGAGGCCTTTCCTGCCTCAAGGCCCTTTCCTGAGTCAGGTGGGCTCAGTCCCAGGGATGGCGAGAAGGCCCAAAGCAAATCAGATCTAATGGAGTTGAGGCTCCCTCTGATGACACCCCCCCACCCCCACTGGGCTCAGGAACTCCCTTCGCACAGCTGCCCTTGGAGAGGGAAGCCGAAGAAGCGGGGGCTTTACACCAGCACGCACACGCGTGTCACATGCGTGTCAAGCCCCTCAGCATGTGGGGAGCCTTGCCCTGGCCAGCCCCGGGTCCTTCAGGTGAGTGATGGGGGGGGGGCTGTGAGAATCCAAGCCCGGTTCCGAGTGGGGAGCAGGGGGGGGGGACCCACCTTGGTTGAGGATCAAGGCAGGGGCGTAGATGACGATTCCCGTGTACAGCACCTGCGTGTGGGGGGGGGGGGGGGAGGGTTTTAAAACAGAGGGAAAGGGTTGGGGGGGGGGAAGTACTCAACAAACAAATGAAGAAACACACCTCCTGGCGTGTCCACAAGGGCAGCACCAGTGGTGGGAGTCCACACTAGGAGAGGCCCTTCTCATTCCTTCTCTTCTTCTATTCCGAAGACCCCCCTGAAGACCCTGAATCTTGGGGATTCCAAGGGGAGCCCCCGATAGTCCGTGTGTGGGAACCGTTGTAGGTGAGGGGCTCTTTCTTCTCTTCCTTTCAGCCAGTGCTGAAGGAAGGACCCCCCCCCTCTCAAGGGCAGGGAGGGATTGTGGGGGGGGGGGAATGCCAGCCCCAACGCTGGGCACTTACCGTGGCAATGATGTACTGGATTGTGCCACACAGCCGGACCTTCTTGGAGAAGCGCAGCTCCAGGTACTGCCAAGGCAAGCGGGGGAAGGAAGAGATACTACAGATGAAGTCTTCCCAAAGGCCAAAGCTCCCAGGGAGGAAGGGGGGGCTGCATATGTGTGTGTGTGCGTGTGTGCATGCATGCCATGCCTCCTGGTCAAACTGGACTCCAAGCATTTGGCTGGCCGAAACACGGGGCAGGCCAGGGCATTCTGCATCAGAGTGAAGTTCCTGGGATAAATGTCAACAGCTCCAACAGCCCCCCCTCCCCCGAATAAATGCCCATGCAAAAGAGGGGCATGGAAAGCAGGATACTCCCCCCCCCCCGTGTATTAACCGTGAAGCAATTTGTGCAGTATTTGTGCCAAGGAGGAGGGGGGCGCCAAGATTTCTCTGAGGGCACCAGGGAGCCTCCATCCACCACTCTCCCCTCCCCTCCAAAGGGCAGAGGGGCGCTGGGCGGCCCGTGCCAGGACCCTCCTCTCGCCCAGGGGGGCTTTTGTCGAGAGGCAACGGGACTTTCCTGGATTCCCTTGAAGAACTTTCGCTTCTTCAGTTCAGTCGCTTCTCGAAAAAGCCCCTTGGGGACAAGCGAGACACGGGGGGCGGCAAGCGGAGCCAGGACCCTTCCCCCGCACCCCCCGCCCGTATTTTGGTTATTCGTGCGCCACGGCCGCCAGGACTCCCCCCGCCTGCCCTGCCCTTCCGGAGCCCTGGGGGCGCAGAGCTGCCGTCGGGGCACGCGTGGGCCCGGCGCTGCGGGGGAGGGGCAGCCGTGGGGCGAGGCGGGCTGTTCCGCCCCCGGGAGGGGGGAAGGGGGGGAATCAAGCAAAGCCGCCAGGAGGCCGTGCACACACACCCCGCAGGCTACCCGTGCGCCCCCCCAGCCCCCTTCCAGCCCTTGCCCAGAGATCATCTCTGCCCCAGGATCTTTGCTCCTCGATGAGCGTCATGCAGACCCAACGCCCGGCTGATCCCAGAGGGGATTGCAGACGCCTCCCCCCTCCAGCCCCCAGGGCAGAATCCAGCCTCAGAGCCTCTCGGTCACTGAAGAGAGGCTGCTTCAGCTGATCCGCTTCCTCAATCAGGTCTCCCCCCCCCCAACAAGGGGCCTGGGGTCCTGCTTCATCCAACCCCCCCCCCCGCAGAAGTGGGAGGGGACTCGTATTTAAAGCCCAGGAGGGGAGCCAGGAAACCTCTGCAATCAGAGCCCCCTCCCCTCTTTTACAGATGCCCCCCCCCCTCTCTGGGTGGCTTTGCCCACTCTGCCATGCCTGGGGAGGGCAGCCACACCCCAGCCAGGGAGAAGCCAGCGGGCTTTTGTGGGGGAGGGGGGAGACTGCTGGGAAGCAGGAGCCATTTAGGCAGAAACC